ACTGCCTGGCAGCTGAACATGCACGACGCCATCTTAGAGAACTCCATTACTGAGACGGCGAGCGGCGAGCGGGGGAGCGAGCAACAGCATTCGTGCAGGTTAGATAGGGGCAAGGACTCGCTGCCTTTCCCTCAGCGGGCAGAAGCACCCGTGAAGAATGGAGGAATTAGGGCAAATTTCGGGGTGCGGATTGAGTGAGGGATGAAAGTTTGGACATTTATGGGAGATTGCAAGGACATGTTCACAGTTCCATGTGTAAATGAAGCAGGTCCTTCAGGCAGTTAATGTTAGGCTTAGGGTTTGGTAGGGTGCTGTGCCGCAGCAAAAGCACGCGGGCCACCTTTCTCTCTCAGGTAGCCGCGGATCTCGCGTAGCCTGAGTGATGGCAGAGACTTGAACGATGAGACACTGCGACTAAAGGTTATGTAGGGATGCTCAAGGATTCGTGGGGGCGGAGGGGGGGGGAACAGCAACATACAGGATGTATGTCCACATCTGGCGATAAGCGGATTTCAGCTATGCTAAGGGGCCCAATCTTCTCCAGGGCCTTTAGGCAGGTGCGAAGGAGAACAGTGACGAGAGTTGCAAGTGCTTTCCTGTGCCAGTATCACAGCGATCAGCAACATACAAAATCTGAAAACAGATTCTTGGGACATTTGGGGGCGCAGTACCTTGGTCTGATCTTGGCAATCGTGCATGTTAATCACCAGTACCTTGAAATTGCACTGATACAACTCGTGAGACTCTTGGAGATTGACTGTCAGGGCCTGTGGGGTCACCTCGCTGGGCAAAACCTAGGAGTTCTTTTGCCGTAAACGCTCTGCCTTGGGATTTGATTTGTCGACTCTAGGAACTCTAAGCTTGGTGCTCGAGACGTTAGCTGCTTCCGACCCCTCCTTGTTTCTGAAGGCTCGGGCCCTGGCAGGTGGCCACGCTCGCCCTGGCAATTCTGAAGGCATATGCAAGGTGCATCGGCTGTGTCCATGCCGTTGACATTGGAGCATCTTGACATGATTGTTACTTGGTTCAGGGCTCTGTTCATGCTATTCTGTTGGGGCTCTTCTATCCGCCTCCTCTGCCAAACGCTCTTGCTCCTTGCACTTCTTCGCTTCCTCCGCCAACCTCTCCTCTGCCAAACGCTCTTGCTCCTTGAGCTTCGCTTCCTCCGCCAACTTCGCCTCCTCTGCCAACCTCGCCTCCTCTGCCAGCCGCTTTTGCTCCTTGCGCTTCGCTTCCTCCGCCATGCCTCACCATCATGCAACATGCACTGTCTAGTGGTCTGCATGATGGGTGTCACACAAAGTCTCCGAAAGAAGATCTCAACTTGAGACTGGCGATATGGGGCCTAAACTGGCAAGTACAGGTCAAGAGCATTCGGAGCCCCCTCAGTACACACCGCTCGGGCCGGACATCAGGAGCCCACCATACAATACACGCCGCCCCGAGTCTGATACGAGAAATCACTGTAGGAAGATCAGGCGCAGATTGCAAACCGAAGGCGAGCTATGATGCTGTCTCAATGTCTTCTGGGTTTTCTTTATCCCTATACAGGACACGGCTGACACGCTCTCTGGCTCTCTCTCGCCCCGTCTCTCCCCTTCACCTGGCCTCGCGTCCGATGCGACACTGACTGCGCTGAGCCAAACTGCGAATGTTAAAGGCTCCAGCTTGCGAACCACACAATGTTACATATATATATACACACATATATATATATATATATATCATGCAACGTGGGGCTGGAAGAGCACCAGAAGACCAGAGGACAAGAGGGCCAGAAGCCGGAGGACCAGCAGACCGCAGGACCAGAGGACCAGAAGACCTGGAGAGCAGGACCAAGGGCAGAGGACCAAGAGACCACCAAAGGACCGGGAGACCAAAGGATCAGGAGACCAGATGACGAGGGAAACGGACAAGAAATCACCCAAAAAAACTCAAAAACATGCAAAACATACATATACATATATATATATATATGCTCACCCCGCCTCCCCAATGGACAACCGCGAAATGAAAATGACAGGAAAAACCAGTTGCTTTTGTCGTGCTTTGAGTTTTTTTTGCGCGTTTTGCCTTAGTTATTGTGTTTTTTGCGTGTTTTTTGTGCATTGTTGCACGTTTCTGGCCTTTTTTGCACTTTTGCACTTTTTTTGGCTTTTTTGCACTTTTGCACTTGTTTTTGCTCTTTTGCACTTTTTTGGCTTTTCGCACTTTTGCACTTTTGGCTTTTCTTGCATTCTGTTCACATACTGTGTTCTTTTCTATGCTTGTCTTATGCATAGAAAATCCAAAAATCCAAAAATCTAAATATCCAAAGATCCAAGGTCAGAAAGCGCATGCAGGACGACTTTGCATTTTGGCGGGGGGGGCTCCTAGGGAAAACATGGAGAGAAAACACAGTAAACTTCAACCCCCAAAGAACGCAGCGCTTTTGTTCCCCTGCCCAGAGGTCGCTGATGTTACCCGGGCAGCGGGGCTCCGGCCGCAAAGCCATGCCAAGGTCCTCTGCCGCGCAAGGCTTTTTGTGCATTTAAAAAGCGGTGGAGGGGAAGGGGAGGGAGGGGTTTAGGGTTTAGGGTTTAGGGTTTAGGGTTTAGGGTTCAGGGTTCAGGGTTCAGGGTTCAGGGTTCAGGGTTCAGGGTTCAGGGTTTAGGGTTTAAGGGTTTAGGGTTAGCCTCAAGCATCCCGCGCAGCCTGGAGGACGGGTTGTGGTTTTTGCCAAACAACAACGTACTCTTTCCTCGCTCAAAGCATGGCACAAATGCAGCTAAGAGGACAGTTTTGTTTTAACAAGTTCGCTAAACAGGCCCAAAACCCAAAACTGTCCCTGGATTTCCGCCCCCACGCAGCTGAGGCGAGCCGGCTGTGGCTCTTCTTTTCAAGCGTCTCGCTGTCCGCGAAACAGTCCCCTGCCAAATCTGTTGCGCAAACCAGGCCCCGAATTTCCGCCCCGCCCTGCGCACTGTCTTTGAAGCACCGGCCCTTTCAGAAAGTGGGTTGCTAGTTGGACACGCACCCTGCCTGAAATTCTGCCTCGAACAGAAACCAGTTGCTAGTTGGACGCGCAACTTGCCTTTTGTGCCAAAAGCGGAAATGTTTGCCCGAAAAGATGCCTGACAAGGGTTGGGGTCCCCTGCCTAACATGTTTTTGATCTCGGGCAAAAATTGGTTGCTAGTTGGGCACACTTCCTGTCTGGACATGTGACCACAGGCAGAAACAAGTTGTTGGCTGGATAGACAGGACAAGCCACGTTTTCTTTCTTGTCTCGTTGTCTGTGAAAGACTATCCCAAGTCTGCTCAAAGCATGCACGGCATTTCGCTCAGCTTAGAGGACAAATCACCTCCTCGCCCCATCCCCAAAACGCCACCTGCATACCGGCAACTCTAGCCGGACAACAGTTCTTGTTGATCCTGGCACCACGCCCACTATCGCCCGCTATAAGACTGAGAGTGTCTTTGACAATATCCAGTCCATCTTCAACAGACCTACAATTATTGCGTCATTAACATAATCATACATTGGCATGTCTACCTTCGTGCCACGCTGCCTCCGCTTCCAGCCTCTGGACGACAGCGAGCCTAAGCTTTTCGCTCGACTATACAAGACGTCGGAGGTGTTACCAGATGCGGCCGTTTCTAACTTGCCACAAGGAGCCCCGAACTCATCCTGAATGCATCTAGTCTTTGAAGCCTCACATGAGGAACCTCAGAACCTCCCAGCCCCTTCTCACTAAGGCACAAGATGTCTTGCAAAGCCATCTCAGCAGGCAAATCGTCGAGGATGCGAGCCAAGTCCTGCTCACGTAACATGCGTCAGACGGCCCCCCCCCCAGTTGATGCAGTTGACACCGTGACCGTCTGTGACAGGAGTCAGCCGCAGCCAGCGTGTTCTTGGGAGTGTCCTCGGGACCACAGATCCGGCCGCGAAGTCGCGCTCCGGGAGGTGGCGGCACGGGCGGCAGCGGGGACCTCAATTTGTCAGGTCTTTGGGTTCTTGGGATCTGAAAGTCCACACAGTTTCCAAAAGTATGAGAGAAAAAACGACAGAACATCAAAGTCCAGCAGCGGAGAGGGCGAGTGCAGCTCCCAGCTTCGGAGGAGGAAGCCCCAGATTCCCTCCAGGACGCCGCAGCGCAGCTCTGCTGAGACGCACGCGCCCGCGAGATGTCCGGGATGGTCTCGTGGACCTCCGAGAGACGCCAGGAAGTCTCGGAGGGGCTGCATGGACTTCGGCAAGTCGAAGTCGCCTAAGCCCCAATCAAGGAAAACCACGTGGCCGTAGCGGCGCACGCAGGACGCCGTCCTTTGCAGCAGCATGGCTCGGGGTTCTCCAGACTTCGTTCCGCTCCAGTGGGTCCAGCTCTCAAGCACGTGCCGGCGGGCTTCTTTCGCACGGCAGCGCTGGCACTGCTCTCGCTGCCTTGGCTTTGGCTGGGGGTCAGCTTCATAGCCCAGCTCGCGCTGCAACCGTACGATCTGCCTCACCTCGGGGCTCTGCCAAAGTGAGGCCAGCTGCGAGCGAGCAAGCTGCTTGAGGCGCCGGTGGCCTTCCGACGCCTCCGCGCTGGGCGTGGAGATGCAGCGGCCGCAGCGGCGCTCGTCGAAGCGCGCGGCGAGCGCTCGGACCTGGCCCCAGAGCCCCTCCTTGCCCAAGGAGCCCAAGTTCCGCAGGGAGGGAAGGAGGTGCAGCAGCATCTTCTTCACACTCTGGTCGAAGTTGCAGAGGATGTCTTCAACCCGGAGAGTGAGGACCCGGGGATCCTCCTTGACCCTGCGGTACACGGCCCGCATGTCCGAAAGGGTGTTGCCCCGGTGAAAGCCGTGCTGGCGGCGCAGGTGCAGCCTCGCCTCCAGCCTGCCAGTTCTAGGGAGCAGCTTCGCTCAAAACTGGAGTTGCTTAAGGGTTTTTGTATTAAGATATTTAATGTACTTCTTATCTTTTTGTTGGGGGGGGGGTGTATCTACAGATTCACTCTGGGTACATCGGTATGCGAACTCCAACTCCCAATTCCGATTCCGATGCAGCCGCTGGACTTCAGCCCCTCCGTCAGCGAGAGGTTCTGGAGAACCTTTGGCCCGGAGCCCGGCGGCGCGTCGCCTCTGAGCACGTGAGCACCCAAAAACCTACCTGGACCTCTGGCTTGGAGCAAAGGACTGCAAGTACTCAAAAGAGTGACAAAGGGAGGGAAAGAAAGCCAGAGAGAGAGGGGGAGAGAGCGAGAGAGAGAGAGAGAGAGAGAGAGAGTGAAGCAAGTCGGGACTTTGGCCTTTCTGAGAGTGGTAGGCGTACCCCGACACCAGCATCTCCAGAGGCGACCGAAGAATGTGCACGGCACGGTACCTAGGGCACCGCTGCTCCAAGACCTGCACAGGGGTAGACTGACAGGTATGGGAAGCATCCCCGAGCAGGTCGCAGAGTCCCGAGTAGACGTGATGCTGATGACTAGACCGTATGACATTCCAGCACGAATAGCACAGCAGCTCAGATACGACTCTTACAAAAGCAGCAGTGCCAACACTTTGCATAGAAGCACACAATGAATATATATATATATTTATATTTATATTTATATTTATATTTATATTTATATTTATATTTATTTATTTATTTATTTATATTTATATATATATATATATATACCTTTTTTTTTCTCCCCGGCCCCGTCATGTCCACCTCCAAGTCCACTGGTTGCACGTAGAGGCCTTGGGCATCGGCCTCGCCGCAGCGGCGCGGCACGGAGGGCCAGAGGAACTGCGACACCGAGAGGCCCAGGAAGGCCAGCACCTAGGGAAAGATTTTGGAGACTGATCTGAGAGGGTTTAGGGATGTTTAGGGTTTATAGGGTTTTGAGAAGGGTTTAGGGCTTATAGGGTTTAGGGTTCAGGGTTCAGGGTTTAGGGGGAGGACAGGATGTGTCAACATGATGCGCCAGCTTGCAGCTAGACTTGTTTGGGGCTTCGGTGGCCTCGGCGAAGAGGCTGCGGAAGAGGGTAGACATGGCCTGGGATGGCCCTTAAAAACCCTCTGAAAACATATTCCTGAAGATGATCCTCTTAAGACCCAATAAGGGAGAATATTCCTGAATATGACCCTCTTAAACCCAATAAGGGAAAAATATATATATAATGTCCCAAGAGTAGCTTTGTGGTAGACGAAGATGTAGAGCTGCTGGTAGTCCGGACGGGGAAGGTCGTAGCGCCACGGGGGCAGCCATTTCAAGTATGCCTTGTGGCCCCTCCGGCTAGGCCTTGCAACATCAAGCGCAGTTCGCCCTGGAAATGGGTCCTCAGATCTCCAGCTGCTTGGATGAAAACGCAACTGAGTTCCACACCAGGCAAAGAGCCATTTGGTAAGTAAACATGATTTCCCACTCTCAATGTGTAGTTTACCATGATCGGCCCTAAACCCGAAACCCCTAAACCCCTAAACCCCTAAACCCCTAAACCCCTAAACCCCTAAACCCCTAAACCCCTAAACCCCTAAACCCCTAAACCCCTAAACCCCTAAACCCCTAAACCCCTAAACCCCTAAACCCCCTAAACCCTAAACCCCTAAACCCCCTAAACCCCTAAACCCCTAAACCCCTAAACCCCTACACCCCTAAACCCCTAAACCCCTAAACCCCTAAACCCCTAAACCCCTAAACCCTAAACCCCAAACCCCTAAAACCCTAAACCCTAAAATCCCTAAACCCTAAACCCGAAACCTTCCCCAAAGAGCGTCGAGGTTGGTCTCTTGGTGGCTGCGCGCGCCCGCCAGCCGGCCCATGCGATCCATGCGCAAGTGGCATGAAAACCAGTCCTGGGAGTGATATTCTCTTTTAAAGTGATCCCTTTAACGGGGGTGGGGGGGGGGGGGGTGTTTAGGGATTTAGGGTTTAGGGGTTTGGGGTTTAGGGTTAGGGTTTGTGGGGGTTAGGGTTGAGGATTTAGGGTTTTCTGAAAGGGTCCTCAGAGGCTCCCATGTACGGGCATTTGGAGTCTGCATGGGTTTCAGGGCCGGCTCTGGATCCCCTGATACGATGTATGCTAGGACTCCCCAGGCTTAAGCAGCTGAAAAACGGGACCTTGTCGTTTCAACGAAGAACCTGACGCAGGAAAGAGTGTCCCTCTAAACCCTAGACCCTTAAAAAAACCAAACCCCCAAACCCCTAAACCCCTAAGCCCCTAAACACCTAAACCCCTAAGCCCCTAAGCCCCTCAGCCCCCCTACTAATTGAAACCCCTAAACCCCTAAACCTCTGAACAACTAAAACCCTTTTGAAAGTGCAGCCCGGCAGTCCGGGGCGCGGCAGGTGAAGCCCAAGCACCCCGCAATCCTTAGCGCGGACCCGTGGCAGCTGCCGGGACGCAGAAGTAGCGGAGCGTTTCGGGCGCTTGAAATTTGGTCTTTTTTGGGGTTTAGGAAGTTTCTGGTTTACAGCTTCCAGGGCTTGGGGCTTGTAGCGAACCTGCAGCGACTCTGGAGCCCACGCTCCATCACAATCCTAACCAGCGTACATCTCAGCTGTCAGGAGTTCATGGAAGGTTGCCCCGAACGCACAAGGAAAGGACGGCACACTAAAGGGGATTCACAGTGGCGTCTTGACTTCACAGATGCTGCCCAGCCTCAGGTTGCAAAGCATGGCGGCTTGTAGCCGACCTCTCAGCGGAGCCGTGTCATTCCACGAGGACCGGCGGGGCAGCACGGGCATCAGCTGCACGGCATCCTGCACGTGGTAGCCAAAGGACGGAAAAGGCAGCAACACCTCAGCCATCCACTGGGGCAAGAAGAGATTTCTGCTCAGCTGCACTGTGACATCTTGTGACTACTAGATGACTCCTGACGCAGTCTATTCAGTATACAGTAAATACATGTAAATAAGGTGATCCCAACACCAAAAAAAAACACAAGGGGGGTACCTAAACCCTAAACCCTAAACCCTAAACCCTAAACCCTAAACCCTAAACTAGTAAGCCCAGGCACTGGCGATACAAGCCGCCAGCACTCCAGGGACTCTTCCTCGCCTGGCATCGTGCCAGCATGGCTGATGGCACCGCGGGCCAGATGGCCTCAGGGAGTTGGGGAGTTATAGGGTTTAGGGTTTAGGGTTTAGGGCTTAGGGTTTAGGGTTTAGGGTTTAGGGTTGAGGGCTCACGGGTTTAGGGCCTTGAGGAGCTTTATGCCTGTATGAGGCTGCAATGCAAGGGGACACACTTCTCTGGAGCCTCCCGGAGAGTCATCCCGAAACCGAACCCTCCCCTTTCAGCATTATGGGCAGCCTGTGCTGGAGGTGTTGCACGTCCAGACTGCTGCCTCACACGGTGACGTGTAGTCTGTGGCCAGGAAGGGCAAGAGCAGTGAAAGGCGGATGGCGTGCGTGCGCGGTGAGTACCTCGGCGGAATTGACAACAGGGATGCATTGGAGGCCCCCGGCCACGATGTAAAACCAAAGGACTCAAGGATGGCCCTTAAAACCCATTGAACAAAGATTCCTGAATATGATCTGCTTAAACCCCAAAAAGGGGAAAAGACGAGATGTCCCAAGGGGGGGGCCTATCGAGAACTGCTCCCAAGGGAAATCAGGATACACCTCGCGCGGATCCGCTCCATCTTCGGCCAGCACCCGGCACCTCGACTGGGGCCATGCAGCCTGGTGCCATTCAACTCCGACGACCCCGGCCGTGGGTGGCAAAGCTTGGAAGCACGTCTTGCAGCTGATCAAAGATGCCTCGGAAAGCCCTTATAACACCCTCTTGAAAGATATTCTGAGTAGGATCTTCGTAAACCCAACAACGGAAAAAATATTAAAAAATCGTCCCAAGGGCCTGCCTGGATGCTCCACAGGAGTGGAGGTAGAAGGCATCGAATTCTCTGCCATACCGGTCGAGGCAGCCGCCCGGGCCGATGAATTCCAGCGACATGGGGGGGCCCTGGGGCTAACTAGCTACCCCAGCTACGGCTTGAAAGCGGAAGATGCCCAACCCCACATTTTCTGTAGCCCCACATTTTCTCCAGGATGCCCCTGGCCAGCAGAGATTATCCGCAGGGTGCAAAGATGCAGGGCCATCCCACAAGGGGCCCGATCAACCGAAGAGCGCGCGGTCCCCTTTTTCATGCGAGGCTTGGCCGAAAATCTCGAGCAGTGGGATCTCGTGGCGGATTCTCGGCGACGGTTCGCGTGCCTTCTCTGGGGCCGCTTGAGGGGGGGACGGGGGGCAGGAGGGGGTTGGGCGAGTGCAGTTCCTAAAGGCTTGCGAGGATGAGGATCGCTGCTCTTTCAGGATGTTAGCCAGGGATAGGAAGGGCCAAGCCTGGCCCGCGGACCGTAATTCCCCTCCTCTGCTCTCATAGGTAAGGCGAAGATATTTAGAACATTTTACAGGAGAACGAATCCAAGGGATGAAAATCCCCGGATGCCTCCGTCAACCCTAGCTGGGCAGCAGTGGGTCACGGCCGGCCGCTGTCAGATACTCCAGCATCTCTAGACGGCGCTCCTCGCGTGCGCGCAGCACGTCGCAGTATGCGGAGGCAGGGCCAACGAAAGGTGACCACACGATGGCCCAGAGCACCTGCGTTGCTGGGGCAGAAGCCAACTTCATGCTTACACCATTGCGTCCTTCTTGCTGTATTCTACTTATGAAAGTCTAGGTGCTTTGATCTAGTGAATCTGTAGAAACTAGTCCTCACAGTACAACTCGATCAAGCCCGGGCACATCTCGGCTGCTACAGGTCACGGCCAAGTAAAGAAGCATGGACAGGCACAGCACACTGGAGTCAACCTCAGCTGCTCTTTCGCTTTTGCATCTCTTCCTCGAGCAACATCAGAAGTAGCGTTGTGCAAGAAAGGAGCCTGAATCAGCGAATCTTCAAGGCCCCAAGGAGAAATTGAATGCATGTTTAGGAAATCTGCAACGACTTTAACAACTAGCCAAAAACACCCTAAACACCCCAAACCCCAAACGGTCCTGAAGTCTACAAACGCAACTTTAAACACAAAAAACATAATCATAATAATAAGTAACAATAATAATTATTATAGTAAGAATCATAATAACAATAACAATAACAATAACAATAACAATAACAATAACAATAACAATAACAACAACAATAACAATAACAATAACAATAACAATAACAATAACAACAACAACAACAACAACAAACAACAACAACAACAACAACAACAACAACAACAACAACAACAACAACAACAACAACAACAACAACAACAACAACAACAACAACAACAACAACAACAATAACAATAACAATAACAATAACAATAACAATAACAACAACAATAACAATAACAATAACAATGCCAATAACAATAACAATAACAATGCCAATAACAATAATACGAATAATCATCAATTTAAAAGAGCCCGGATGTTGGGCCCAGCCGCCGTCATGAAGGCCACCCATGGGCTCGCCTTGGGCCCCCAGAGCGCTGAAAGCAGCTCGTCGGAGCTTCCGAAGGTGCCCCAGGCGTAGAAGACCCTTCGCTTCGCCGGGCTGCGAAGAAAGGGTTTAGGGTCTAGGGTTGAGGGTTGAGGGTTTAGGGTTTAGAGTTTAGGGTTTAGGGTTTTGGGGTTTTGGGTACAATTACCGGGAGAAAGCTTACTTTCTAGGCATTCCTGATACGACAACTTCAGTGAAACTCCTTCATGGCAACCCCTGCAGATCGTCCTAGCCGGCCAGCGCGCTCAAGTTCGGGAATTCACAACTCTGGGTAAACGTCGCAGGCAGAGGTCTTTGGGAAGTCGAGGTGCCTTGATTCGAGTTCTTGGGCTTCATACGAAAAACCCAGAGCTTTTGTTCGACTGCAGCCCGGGATCAGAGAATAGTAGCCCATGGCTGAGATGAAGCCGAATGCCAAATAGGCGTTCTTCCTGAGTTCGACAACTGTGCCTCGACAGCTCACGCGAACGACACCTCAAGCACAAAAGGCTGAACGTGAGGCCTGTCAGGGACACGACAGACGTCTCAGAAATCTTCAACAAGAAAGGGGCACGCATCATCACTCTTAATCAACGTTCACCCCATGTTCTAGACATAGACGTGACTATGACGGCATCTTATACTATAACATGCTACATCTTGCTATATCTCATTTACTTTTCTATACGATACAAAGGTACACCATATTATTCGATATGATATCTGGTACTATACATATCCTACTGGTGTCATGTACGGAGCGCGTTGGCTCGACAGACGATGCTCGTTATACTATATTGTTTTCGACATGTCACTACTTTTGCTCTGCCCCAGCACCGCGAACTCCACGGCACCCAAGACCCGCCCCACCCACAAAACGAACCTAGCAGCCCAAGCGACCCAAGCAACCCTAAACCCCAAACCCTAAACCCCAAACCCTAAACCCCAAACCCTAAACCCCAAACCCTAAACCCCAAACCCTAAACCCCAAACGCTAAACCCCAAACCCTACTTTGACCGAGGCACAGCAACTCCATTGCTGCCGGATCAGGCTTCTGCGGCGCTGGGAAAGGCCACATCAGCAGGCCCAGCAGGGCAAGGCCCTGGGTCTGTAGGGTTTAGGGCCTCATTAAGGTTTCGGGTTAGGGTTTAGGGTTTAGGGTTTAGGGTAGGGTTTAGGGCCTCAGGGGCTTGGGGCCTTCGGGCCTTAAGGCCTCAGGGCCTGAGGGCCTTAGGGCCTGAGGGCCCTTAGGGGCTTAGGCCCTTAAAGTTTAGGGCCTTAGGGCCTTAGGGCCTAGGGTTTAGGTTTAGTAAGGGGTACGGTGGGTTTCAGAAAGCTTTGGGGCTCTATGTACTGGATGAACTTTCTGCTGGGTTTGGGTTTGGGGGTCTGGTTTATTTTACAAATATCAGTCATTTCTGCCCTGCCAGCCGGTGAGCAGGGCCAACCAGCGAGTCTGCGCAAAGTGTCCAGGCGTGCGTGTGCGGGTCCAGATTGAAGACGCCCACCTGCACACGTCCGAGGGGGGTTTAGGGTTTAGGGTTTAGGGTTTAGGGCTTAGGGTTTAGGGTTTAGGGTTTAGGGTTTAGGGTTTAGGGTTTAGGGTTTAGGGTTTAGGGTTTAGGGTTTAGGGTTTAGGGTTTAGGGCGTCTTGAACAAAGACCTCGCGGGGCGAGCGCACGGCACCTGCGCACATCTTTCGAGTTTGAAAAGTCGGCCGTTCGGGCAATCGCAGGGTGGCCTGTGTGATCGGGGCCGCGTGACCGCCCCGAGATGACGCCCTCCCGCGCCGCTTGAGGGCGGCTCCCACCCTCTCTTCGCTCCGCCCTTTTTCGTTAAGCCAAGCCACCTTTTTTTTTTTTCTTTTCTTCTCTTTCTTTCTTCTTCTGTCAGGTTCGACTCACCCTTTTCTTTCTTGCTTTCCGGTTTGATTGGTTGGACTGAAAATCGCTCTTCGCAGGAAATCGCTTTATGGGCAACATATGCCTAAGACATTTGCACTATGGACAGCAGTCCTTGATTTGCTGAGAACACTGGCGGACCGTGAACTTCTAAAAAAAGCGCAGTGTTACAGGCCGTCTTGCACGGTTGGGGGTTGAAGCTGGTAACGACCCGAAACCGGTGCCCGAATCTGAAAGTTTCTAACTGGAACGCAGTACAGGTTTTCGCAAGGGAATTTCGATCTGGAAACCCAAAGCTGGGTCTGATAGTTTCGGCCCGAAAGCGGTGCCCGAATCCGAAAGTTCCAACCTGAAACCCCAGGTTTATCGGCCCGGAAGATCCGTTTTTGGATGGCCCCTGCCTTCCTGTGAAATTAAAGCAGATTTTGGCTTCCTAACTTCTGCTTATAGAAAGTGCATTTTCATGAAGGCCGGGTGCCAAATCGAGTTCTTCTCTTGACCCTGGCAACGCGTGTTTCGACCCGACGCCGATACCCAGATCCGAAAGTTTCGACATGAAAACACAGGGTATGAACCTTCCTGGGTCCGGAAAGGGCATTGGTCCGATAGTTTCAACCCGAAACCGGTGCTCGAATCCGAAAGTTTCAACCTGAAACTAACGCAGGTTTTAGCACGGGGGTAACTCCGACAGTTTCGGTCCGGAAGCCTAAATTCGGGAATGGGGAATTTCGATCCGGAAACCCAAAGCTGGGTCCGATAGTTTCGACCCGAAACCGCTGTCCGCATCCGAAAGTTTCAACCTGAAACCCGAGGTTTATCGGCCCGGAAAATCCGTTTTTGCGAAACCGGTACTCGGAATCCGAAATTTTCAACCTGAAACTAAAACAGGTTTTAGCACGGGGCTAATTCCGACAGTTTCGATCCGGAAGCCTAAATCCGGGACTTGGGAATTTCGATCTGGAAACCCAAAGCTGGGTCCGAGAGTTTCGACCCGAAACCGCTGTCCGAATCCGAAAGTTTCAACCCGAAACCCGAGGTTTAACCCGAAACCGGCACTCGAATCCGAAAGTTTCAACCTGAAACTAATACAGGTTTTGGCAGGAGCTAATTCCGAGAGTTTCGATCCGGAAGCCTAAATCCGGGATTTGGGAATTTCGATCTGGAAACCCAAAGCTGGCTCCGAGGTTTATCGAACCGGAAAAGCCGTTTTTGGATGGCCCCTGCCTTCCTGTGATCTGGAAATTCAAGCAGATTTTTGCTTACTAACTTCTGCTTATAGAAAGCGCATTTTCATTAAGGGCGGGTGCCCAAGTCGGAAAGGGCATTGGTCCGATAGTTTCAACCCGAAACCGACGCTCGAATCCGAAAGTTTCGACCTGAAACTAGTACAGGTTTTAGCACGGGGCTAATTCCGACAGTTTCGATCCGGAAGCCTAAATCCGGTATTTGGGAACTTCGAGCCCAAAGCTGGGTCCGAGAGTTTCGACCCGAAACCGCTGTCCGAATCCGAAAGTTTCAACCCGAAACCCGAGGTTTAACCCGTTCCGGCGATCCGGAGAAGGCGTATTTGGCTTACTAAATTCTGCTTATAAAAAATGCATTTTGATCAGGGCCGGGTGCCCAGGGCGAGGCACCCCTCTTTCTTCGTTTGCGCCTGCTCCAAAGCACACAATTCGACCTGAAAACTGGTGCAGGCCGAGCCCAAAATTTAGATCAGACACCCAAACCCGGGTCCGACAGTTTCGACCCGAAAAAGCGTCCCAAGTTTCGACCCTGTAAGCACGGGGGCTCGATCCGAGAATCCGATTTGGGTAATTATATACCTTTCATTTGGACTATAATCCCAAATCCAAACAACGGCGGTTTCGACATCGAAAAATTGTTCACGCATGAAAACTTTGGTTTGGATTTCCGCCTTCTAAATACGAGTAGAATGCCAAATCCAAAAAAACCGGGTTTCGATGTGGAAATTGGTTTAGGTATGAAAGTTTTGGTTTGGATTTCCGCCTTCTAAACACGAGTAGAATCCCAAATCCTAGAAAACAGGTTTCGATGTGGAAATTGGTTTAGGCATGAAAATTTTGGTTTGGATTTCTGCCTTCTAAATACGAGTACAATCCCAAATCCTAAAAAACAGGTTTCGACACGAAGTACAGAGACCCGAGGTTTTAGGGATACTATTATATTATAATATAGAATGTCGGTCATGTACATGGAGTCCGACATTCTCTCGGACGAATTCGGATTGAAAGTCCTGTCGTCCTCGGCCACCAAGTACTAGCGATGGCACGCACTGGAATCTATACGGAGTGTAGTATTGCACACTTGTGACGAATGTTCGACATGACACCGTACAGAGTGGTATACCAGCCGGGGTCACTCCTCTAACGCCTCAAGGCGTTAGAGAGACGTGCCGATGAGTTTAGGGTTTAGGGTTTAGGGTTTTGGGTTTAGGGTTTAGGGTTTAGGGTTTAGGGTTTAGGGTTTAGGGTTTAGGGTTTAGGGTTTAGGGTTTAGGGTTTAGGGTTTAGGGTCTTTTCTGTGGCTGGGTTCATCAAGCAAGGGTTTCCCACAAAGGGGCGCTTTCAGGTATCCAAAAGCACTTCTGGGGCCAGCCCCTCACAGACTCTTGGGGTTTGGGGTTTGGGGTTTAGGGTTTAGGGGTTAGGGGTTAGGGTTTAGGGCACTTTTGGAAACAAGTTGCCGGAGGTCTTACCAGGAAGACTTTCCTGTGTACCAGCCTCCAGGCACAAGACCAACATCGGAACGAGCCTGAATGGAGAGTCCAAGCAGACAGGACGATTCTGCAGAATGTGTAGAGGGTCGCTGATGCTGTTGTTCTTGGACTTGTAGAATTTCAGTTTTGGTCCATAGGTTCATGGTGGCAAAGACCGTACTTGGGTGTGTTCCTAACTCCCTGGCAGGGAATCAAGCCTGGCACCTCTGCTGTGATATAGGGTTTCCCAACAATAGGGGTACCCCGAACATACCCCAAAAAATATGACACTAGCCCAACCTTAGGAAAACAATGGAAAGCATCGAAGAATCCTAGGCCCCGCTACTCTTTCGCTCACAGGTTTCATGCAGAAACAGGCCCTTGCACGGAGGACCCCGAAGTCGCTGTCCGCACCCTATAAACCCTAAACCGCAACCCCTAAACCCTAAACCCTAAAAAACCCTAAACCGCAAACCCTAAACCCTAAACCCGAACCCTAAAATTCATCGTCCGAGTCGCATGGCCATCCAAACGCGGCCAGTGGAGGGTGAGCCACTGCCCGTCCCCTCTTGGAACGCGGCATTCATCCAGAAGCAGGGAAACGCGAAGCTGATTCCTTAGACGATGATACTTGGGATGTTCCCCCTTATACTAACAGTCCTTAAAAGGGATTACAATGGGGGGGGGGGGGTAAAATAATCCCGAGATGCTACAATCAAGAGGAAGCTACCTGTTGGAGATTGATGGCGGAGTTCTTGATTTCTGTGCTGCCAAGGAGTTCGTCAGGTCCGATGCTGCTGTTATCGTTTTCCGAGTGCACCAGGCTGTGTCGGCCGCCATAAGAAGCAGAGACCAGGGGAGGCGCCATCAGTTTTTTTTAGGGAGGAGCTTTAAGGTGCGTTTAGAAAGGTTGCAGGATCCTGAAAGCAATCCAAGCATCCTAAGACCTGGCTCAAGAAGAGAACAAGAATGGGCCACTTGACCATGTTCCGCGCACCAGGTCGCCCAGCCTACGCGTTGTCTGGCAGTTTCTGCGATGCTTGAGCCGGGCTCTTGCTTTTGCGCCCTGCGCAGAAAACTCCGCTTCCCAGCTCAGGGCTTAAATTTTTAAAGTTTCGGCCCCTAACAGGCCAATCACCACGAGGCAAAGGTGCCAGAGACGGCAACAAGTCAACAAGAGAAAGGAGGCCCACAACCAAGTACCTCTCAGGCATGAACCCCAGCAGGCTCCCACTACCCACGAAACTGAAACCAAGACCGGCCTTCAGGGCTGGAGTCTCAGGTTAGAGCCCCGGGGCCTCTGTGAAGATGAGGAGCATCAAGGGGAAAAGAAGGGTGCCCGCAGCGCCCCATGCCAGCATGCCAGCAGGCTCTCTCGCCAGGGCGTACGCAAACCTGGGCAAAAAAGGGCTTACAAGTTTACGGCTTAAGGTTTATAGGTTGTAAGGTTTAGGCTCAGGGTTTCGGGTAGCTCAGGGTTCAGGGTTCAGGGTTTAAAACCCATGAGCTTCAGGGGCCAGCTTCCATAGCAGACAGAAGGAAAAAGCGCCGTGAAGCGCAGCCAGGGAGCTGCGTGACTATGCAGACGAAACTGCCGCCCATCCAGTACTCGTACTCGTGAAGCCCGGCCTCCTTCAGGGCCGTGGCGTTCCCTGACATGCACAGCTGTGACAGCTTTTGCCTCGGCCCGGCGCTCATCTCTCGTTATTCTTGGGGCAAATCTGGGATGAGGCAAACTGAACTCTTCAAAAGCTTCCGAGCACCTGATTCACTAAGCCACTAAGCAGCTGCCACGTTGCATTGCCGGGTCGTCTCCCATGACCTTGTACTGAGTCATGTAGAGGGCGAAAATCCCCAGCGCCGTTGCAAGAAGCGTCCCGACCACCTCGGGAGTTCAACGCGGGAAACTGGGGGGGGGGGGGGGGGGGCTGAATTTGGGTCCATTTCTGGGGGTACCCAAAGGAGACCATCATGAAGAGACATGCCCTGGTCCGGAAGAGCGCTTTTCGAGTTGCAACTTTCCTTCAGGATAGGACTGGGGGTGGAAAGGTCGAGTAGATCGTCCACAACAAGCAAACTGCACCTTGAAACCTAAACCCTCCTTCAACCTTTCGACCCTTGCCCAAATTCCTAGGTTTGGGGGGGGGGGGGGGGGGGGTTTGGGGGCGGGGGGGGGGGGGGTTGGGGGGGGGTTTGGGGGGGGGGGGGGGGTTTAGGGGGGGGGGGGGGTTGGGGGTCGTTGGTAGGGAACAACAAAACAATGAATAATGAGGAAACCTGACACTGTCATGCAAAAGCAGGCAACAATGGTGGCCCGTGGTAAAGGTAATGATGAGCCTGAGAACTCCATAGAACTCCTGTCCCAAACAGGGGCTTGACGTCAGTGGTCAATATCTGGGGTTTGGGGTTTAGGGTTCAGGGCTTTGGGCTGTCGAGGAACGTGATTGCCGGCCATGGCTGACGATCTGGGCTTCAAAACGCTCCTACAACCTTCTAGAAGCAAGCATGTCTTAGGGGACATCGGAGACGTCTCACACTTCGCGAGAATTAACCTAGGGGGGGGTCGCAGGCTCGAGCTGTTGGTTCGTGTTTCGATAGCAACTGGAGCTCATGGGCAACGGCATCAGTTCTGACATGTCCAGAAGTTAGGGTTTAGAGGCCGTTAGGTTTCGACAGTAGGGATTAGGGCACAACCAGAACGGCAAAGCCTGAAGGACCTGGGAACCTTACACAGGCCAATCACTTGAACACGGACCACCTAAGACCCAGAGAAATACGAAGTCTCTGCACAGGATCCACATTGACTAGAGGCAACACTTGCCACTCCATGCACCCTCTCTGGAACACTAAGCAGTTGCGGATGATCAGACATAGAATGCCAGTGAAGACGAGCCACGCCAACCCATAGTACGTAAAACTGGGCAGGAGTGCAGGCATGATGGCAGCGAAGCACACTCGCTTGTGGCCGAGCTATTCACGGCAGGTCTCTGCAGAGGGAGACTCGACCCGTTCTTCGGAGCGACTCGAGACACGCTGATGACAGTTGAGTCGCAAGAGAAAGTCCGAAAGAATAGTCAACACCACCATCCTCATGATCGCCATAATCATCAACAAAAACCATCAGCACCACCACATACCACCACCACACCCATACTAACCCTTAACCTAAACCCTAAACCTAATCCCTAAACCCTAAACCCTAAACCCTAAACCATCCTAAACCCTAAGATAGACTATCAGAGTTCTTGTGCGCCGAGCTGCAGTCGGCCTCGGCATGTCTCGGCGCTCAGCCAACGGATCAGATTACCCTCTCGGCTCGTCTGGACACTGTTCGCTAAGAGGGGTTTAGGGTTAAGGGTTTAGGGTTGAGGGTTGAGGGTTGAGGGTTGAGGGTTGAGGGTTTAGGGTTTAGGGTTTAGGGTTTAGGGATTAGGGTTTAGGGTTTAGGGTTTAGGGTTTTGGGTTTTGGGTTTAGGGCGGCATCGAGTGCAGCATGGGTGTTAGGGGGCGTAGGGTGGCGCAAACTCTTTGCTGCCTGCGGCAGTTGCACTCATGGCATATGCCAGATGCATCCGCCCCAAATTCACATGTCAAATCATGTGAGAAGGAGACTTGGGTCCTGATGCCCTACATCTAAACGCCAACACCCTCGAAAGGCACACCCTAAACCCTAACCCTAAACCCTAAACCCTAGACCCTAGACCCTAAATAAAACCCTAAACCCGAAAGCCTAAACCCTAAACACTGTGCCGGCTCACATCTCGGCCCGGCCGCCTTGCAGCTCGGCCCTGCCAGTGGAGTCTTGAAGGGCTTTAGGGTTTTTAGGGCTTTAGGGGGTTTTGGGGATTTGGGTTGGGGGGTTTGGGGGTTTGGGGGATCTAGGGTTTTAGTTGCTGCAGAATTGGCTCGTGCCTGTCCCGGGTTTGGGTTTAGGGTCTGGGTTACTCCCCCTACCCCCACCTCCCCCGAATGCAGAGGGTTGACCCAAGGGACAATTCCTTTGTTGGGGAAATGGGGGTGCCAGCAGCGGTCAATGCTTAGAGCAAGTGTCGGGGTTACGGGGTCTAGGTGTTCAGGGTTCAGTGCGTCGGTCTTAGGAGCATAATCTTGCCGGGTTGACAGTTTGCTTCCTGATGTGCGCTTGATCCTGGCAAGAAGGGCCAAGAAGGGACTGAGATCCTAAACCTTAAACTTTCAGATGTGAGGGTGAAGGGATTTCTTTGAAAAAAGTGTGCTAGAATTCCGGATTCGATCGGGGGCTAGGATCATCCGCAGCTTAGGGTGAGGTTGTTTGTGGCAAGAAACCTTGCAGGTCTAATTCGGGCAGTCAGCTTGAATCAGCTCGAAACATCGAAGGTCTGACGCATGGATGTGTCACAAAACTCAGACTGTTCCCCGTGCAAAAAAGCCTGCCCGATAGACCTACGGTGCTTTCGAAGCAATACCTTCAACTCGGTGCTCTGATACTAAAGTCAAACCGTAGGAGCCTCCTAATTAGAATAGGGTTTTGAGGCTTACTCTAGTCTGAGTGCAAAGGGACCATAAGGGAAAACTGATTGCAATTATTCCGACCCCTAAATTAGAGTGGACGGTCCTGTTGCCCTCCTGCTCTTCCATGGTGGCTCTAGTGCCAGAGGCATCGGACTCGATCGTCCTGTCCGTACGGGTCCGCACGTGGGCTTTGTTTGCGAGATCTCCGGAGTGTACCAGGGGGCGGTTGAGCGTTTTGGGGCTGGCGATCGAAGCTGCAACTGTAACAGCGACGGCGCGAACTCAAGTTCGCACAAAATCACAGGCATCTCTCTCAGCTCGCAATGCAGAGGAGGACCCTGCGTGAGCAGTCAGTAAAACAAAGTTGGAGGAGGAAAGATAATCATACGGCACATGCTTAGCAGAGCCCGCCCGTCTTTGTCACTCGCCGGCCATTCTCGATGCGGGTTTCCTCAGAGGGTCTTTCCGAGTCTTCATACCAGGCCGGAGAGGCGTTCTTGATGGCATGTAAACCCGCAATGGCAACAGCAACACCGCACAAGATGGGGCGGAAGGAAACTCCGAAGATATCCCACATCCTTAACCAACAGCGCTTGCTCGAGCATTGCTCATGTTACTCATGACGCACATGGTGACGCTGCACACACTTCCCTAAATCATGGTCCCCTTGGGGGGAACCCCAAACAAATCGGAGGAACCCCACAAAAAAGGACCAACAAGCATTGAGAGAACTGCCCCCACACCCCAAACCCTAAACCCTAAACCCTAAACCCTAAACCCTAGACCCTAAACCCTAAACCCTAAACCCTAAACCCCAAACCCCAAACCCCAAACCCCCCCCCCCCACATTCTGCGCGCAGGCTCGGTCTTCATGCTCTTCCCGCCGGAAGAGGTTGAGAAGCTGCTGCTGAACATGACGGTGCTGCTGCCTTTTAGGGCTTAGGGTTTAGGGTTTCGGGTTTAGGGTTTAGGGTTTAGGGTTTGGGGTTTGGGGTTTGGGGTTTGGGGTCCGCCGACCTTGGCGGCGTGTTGAAAACCTCCCTCCCCCCCCCCCGTGTGTGAGCAAAACCGGGTCTATTTAGAAGCTGGGGCTTGTGATTTATAATACAGGTCCATATACCTAAATGTAATAAACCTAGAAGAGCACGGCTTCTAAATAGACCCTACGGTCGGATTTCAAAAGGACGTTGGCAGAAATTAATAATTTTAATAATTTTAATAATTTAAAAATTTTAATAATTTTAATAATTTTAATAATTTTAATAATTTTAATATTTTTAATAATCCTGAGAGGCTCCCGGAAAATTAAAATTATTAACAATATTAAAATTATTAAAATTATTAATTTCTGCCCTGAGAGGCTCCCGGAAAATTAAAATTATTAAAATTATTAAAATTATTAAAAATTATTAAAATTATTAATTTCTGCCATGAGGGGCTCCCGGAAAATTAAAATTATTAAAATTATTAAAATTATTAAAATTATTAAAATTATTAATTTATGCCCTGAGAGGCTCCCGGAAAATTAAAATTATTAAAATTATTAAAAATATTAAAAATATTAAAATTATTAAAATTATTAATTTCTGCCCTGAGAGGCTCCCCGAAAATTAAAATTATTAAAATTATTAAAATTATTAAAACTATTAAAATTATTAAAATTATTAAAATTATAAAAATTAATAATTTCTGCCCTGAGAGGCTCCCGGAAAATTAAAATTATTAAAATTAATAAAATTATTAAAATTATTAAAATTATTAAAATTATTAAAATTATTAAAATTATTAATTTCTGCCCTGGGAGGCTCCCGGAAAATTAAAATTATTAAAATTATTAAAATTATTAAAATTATTAAAATTATTAAAATTATTAATTTCTGCCCTGAGAGGCTTCCGGAAAATTAAAATTATTAAAATTATTAAAATCATTAAAATTATTAATTTCTGCCCTGAGAGGCTCCCGGAAAATTAAAATTATTAAAATTAGTAAAATTATTAAAATTATTAAAATTATTAAAATTATTAAAAATATTAATTTCTGCCCTGGGAGGCTCCCGGAAAATTAAAAGTATTAAAATTATTAAAATTATTAAAATTATTAAAATTATTAAAATTATTAAAATTATTAAAATTATTAAAATTATTAAAATTGTTAAAAATATTAAAATTATTAATTTCTGCCCTGAGAGACTCCCGGAAAATTAAAATTATTAAAATTATTAGAATTATTAAAATTATTAAAATTATTAAAAGTATTGAAATTATTAAAATTATTAAAATTTTAATTATTAATTGTTTCATAATTTTAATAATTTTAATAATTTTTAATAATTTTAGTAATTTTAATAATTTTAATAATTGTATTAATTTTAATAATTTTAATTTTCCGGGAGCCTCTCAGGGCAGAAAATAAGAATTTTAATTTTTTTTAATAATTTTAATAACTTTAATAATTTTAATTTTCCGGGAGCCTCTCAGGGCAGAAATTAATAATTTTAATAATTTTAATAATTTTAATAATTTAAATAATTTTAATTTTCGGGGAGCCTCTCAGGGCAGAAATTAATAATTTTAATAATTTTAATAATTTTTAATAATTTTAATAATTTTAATTTTCCGGGAGCCTCTCAGGGCAGAAATTAATAATTTTAATAGTTTTAATAATTTTAATTTTCCGGGAGCCTCTCAGGGCAGACATTAATAATTTTAATAATTTTAATAATTTTAATATTTTTCTAATTTTAATTTTCAGGGAGCCTCTCAGGGCAGAAAATAATAATTTTAATAATTTTAATAATTTTAATAATTTTAATAATTTTAATAATTTTAATAATTTTAATTTTCCGGGAGCCTCTCAGGGCAGAAATTAATAATTTTATTAATTTTAATAATCTTAATAATTTTAATAGTTTTAATTATTTTAATAATTTTAATAATTTTAATAATTTTAAAAATTTTAATAAT